CTCCAGTCTGGGATTGTCAGTGCCGCCCAGGCCACCAAAATGCTGCCCGATCCAGGTGCCAACCAGCACAATCATCGTGAGGCCGCACAGCTGGGTCAGCACATAAAGCACCTTAAAGTTGATCAGCGCTGGATCCATATTGGACTTGTTGTCGCCTATGCGCCAAGAATAAACAAATGAATAACATTAAGAAAATTAAGTAAGAGGATTCGTTGTTGGCCACATTCAGATGACGCATTTAAATGCGACCCACAATTTGTTAGCCTGCCTTTCCATCTGGCTTTTTGCTCTTTGCAGATACCCTAAATTGATAATTAATGATTTTCTATGACCTAAGCATTAGATGGGCGAATTTATGTACTCTTTGAGGTCAGAGATTTATTTAATGGGTACAGACTAAAAAAAAGTATTTCAACTTTTTACAGCAGTATGAAAAAATTTCCAAAAATTTATTTTAATGAAATGACTCATTTTGTTTATTGTTTATTTTTATCATAGAAAATCGAGAGTAAACCAATTTTCTTCTTGCTGATTTTCTAGTCTGCGTAGCAATTGACCCAGCGCTCTCCCCATAGCTGACACATGATATCATAGCCAATTCAGTTTATTTCAACAAAAAGCCAAACAGCAACAAGTTGTAATTCCAGCGATCTAGCGATAAACACAGCCTCGTTTAACAGCGTCGCCGGCAAACTGAGAAGATGTCTAAACAAAGCACCAAGCACGTTCTGATACGGACTATGTGTGTGCCTCAGTACGATTATTAGATTACGCTCCCTTCCTCTATATAAGCCAGTAGACCGGACTATCCTATAATGCTATGCTTACCCCACCTGCTATTGTAATTGTCTGTCTAACATTAGAAGTCGAGGAGCAGCAGCTCGGCCTGTATCCGTATCTCGGCTTCGGCCTTCTCTTATCAGCACTCCATGTAAACATTGTCTAGAAGCCGTTCTCCACAATCTTCTGTAGTGGCAAAATGATACCAAATCGCTTTAAATAGCATTGTTCAGCGTGTATATATTGTTTGATGTTTGCAGAGATGAGGGGAAATTGGAAAACAAAAATAAAATACGAAAAAAAAAATTGCAAATGAATTAAAAATTTCTGCGCTTCTTCGATAAATTGAAGTGTTCTCGTTTAAATTGAAGGGCGCAGGCTATGTTTGGCATAATAACTTTAAAGGTGAGACAAGAAAGAAGACAACGATAATTAAATACGCTTGGGTTGGAAATGCTCCTCTTATACGAAAGTTCTATTTCCGATTGTTCTAAGAGGTGTCATTTAATATATGTATGCATTTTCAAGCGATTATACCCAAGTAAGTTACTTGAAGGGTTTCAGCGAGTAAGATAAATAATAGAACTTAATGGAATGCATGTAATATGGAAGCTAGGTTATAGAAGTACGTCCGGATATCATGTAATATATGAAATTTTAGAGCAATTCCATGTTTAATTTTGGGTTTAACAATCATTAATTTTGGTTAGCTTTTTAAAGAACAATAGGAATACAAAGGCGTGTACTCTTTATTAGCCTGGTTAAGAGGAACCTTGGGGTTTAACCATGTTCAGATAACGTAAGTTTTTTAACATGGACTTATCAGTCGCTTGAATTGAAGTTCTTTTTGTCTATGCAAATGAGTTTTGCTTTTCTTTTTATACCCTGAACCCATTAAAAATGGGTATAAGGGTATAATGTATTTGTGCAAAATCCAAATGTATGTAACAGGCAGAAGGAAGCATCTCCGACCCCATAATGTATATATATTCTTGATCAGCACCAATAGCCGAGTGGATCTAGCCATGTCCGTCTGTCTGTCCGTCCGTCTGTCTGTCTATCCGTATGTATGAACGCAAGGATCTCAGAACCTATAAGAGCTAGAGACTGAAATTTTAGATGTAGGTGCTCCTAGTGCCTGCGCGATCAAGTTTGTTTCCGATAATCGATAACATACTCCGTTTCCAAGCAATCGATAAAAATCTATATCGATATCCTGTTTTTTGGGCAATTTTGGTAAATAATAAGAGCTGGAGTCACCAAACTTGACATATAGCTTCTACAATATATATATATATATATATATATATATATATATATATATATATATATATATATATATATATACATATAGGAAGAAGAGGGTTCAGGGTATTCCCTAGTCGACTAGAACCTCTTACTTCTTTACTTTAAAGCAGATTGCAATTAAAGTCATGAATAAAGTGAGATAAGTGAAATGTGGCACACGCTGTTTTTTTCTTCTTGTTGCCACAAGGCACGTGCCACAGTTATACAATCAACAAATTTTGGGGCTCGATATTTTCGGGCATTGAAATGAAGAGCCCCATTTTAATGATAATTAAAGCGCACATTATAATTAATAGACTGTTAGTTAAACAGGCGTGCTGCAGCCGGATTGTTGCTATTTGGTGATCAGCAAAGCGTTGCAACAGATCGTGCGCAAAATTTGAAGGTAATGGGCAAAAGAAAATACAAGCAAGACATAAATAATCCGCATAAAAAGTAAAACTTTTTGAAGATGCGACGACGATGACTTTGGAAAAGCGTAAAAAGTTCGAAAACGGCAAAAGTAAAACAAATAAAGAAAAAAGCTGAAATGCTGAAAAACTAAAGTGAAATTTAACTTGGTGCGAATGCGCAAAGACGTTGATGACTCGGCAAACACACAGAGCAGCGAAGAGGGCAGGGAGACGCAGATGAAGAAGGAGTACGAGGATGAGCAATAGTAATGCAATTGCAATGCTCTCTTTCGCGCTGCATACTTCTCTCCCTCTGTCTATGACTCTCGCTTCCCCGCTATTTCTTCTCTGCATGTGTGTGTGTGTGTGTGTGTGTGTGTGTAAGTGTTTGCCTTTCTTTCTTTATACACTTGTCCGTCCTGTTCGTCCGGCTGGCTATTGTATGCGTTTTATTATAACTTTTACTAATTCGAAACTAAAACGTTGAGCCGCGTTGTTGTTGGCGAGTTGTTGATTTACTTTGAAAGCCAAAGCCAAATTTACTGTTGCTGTTGTTGTTGTGGTTGTACCTCTATTTGCGGTCGCCTCGACGACGGCGGCAACCGTTGGCTGCACTTGTTCTACTATGGTTGTTGTTGCTGCCACTGGTTGCTGCTTTTGCTCCTCTGCCGCTTTGCTGCTCTTGTCGACATTTGTTGTTGGCATTGCCGCTACTGCTGCGCCCGCTGCTGTTGTTGTTGTTAGCTCGACAACAGCAACAGGCTCAGCTTTGACTTCAATAGAAGTCGTCGTCATTGTCGCCTGCGCCGCCTGCTCCACGTCTAAATCCTTTGACATTGCGTGTTCACTCTGCACTTAAAAATCAATGCACGAATTGCTGGCTAATTGCACTTGCTAACAACTTGTCTAGTGTTGATTTGCATGCAATTGCGTATGATTAACAGTAACTCGAAAGACAGTAGCACCGAGACACTACACGAAACAACAACAATACCACGAAAATCACAACCGTGCACCACCAAGTGCAATGCGCAACTGAATTCAGAGCAGGCGCTTTGCACAGAGTCCGCAGCGACGACACGACGCGTCGCGACGCTGGCAGCGCAGAGCTTTAAAAACAACAACAAAAACAATTACTCTCATGCGAGAGGTAGCTGTTTAAAAAGCTTTCAATGCTTTTCGTATGCTCATAAAGTCTGGTAATTATTTAACTAATGGTTTAATTTAATTTTTTTTATTTAATGCACATTTGAGAGCGAGCTGTGTTGGCTATTGGCTAATAGAAATTGGCATGCAATTGGGCAGCTCAACCTTGTTGTTGGATGTAGAGGCAGGGAGGGGGAGGTTTGTGGACATTCCTTTGACTTTATTGAAATTGAATTTTTTCTGAGCTGCATTTCAATTGAGGTGTCGGCTAGCTAATAACATGTTCTATGCATAATAATTGCACAAAGCTGCTGACCGCACACACACGCAAACACACACACACATGCCTAACACCCGCTCTTGCGGTGACTTACCCAGCGAGAACAGCATGGCGTATGCTTAATAGAATTTCGCTTGTTTCCTTTTTTCTGCTGCTGTTTGTTATGAATTTTAAGCGGCCTCTGTGACGGCGTGCGATTTGAAGAGTTTTATTAAATAAAATATGAACTTCCAACTATTTTTTTTTTATGATTTATCTTGCAGCAGTCTTCACTTGTTGAACAAATTGCGTTATTTGCAGGATGTCGCCTAGTGGGCTAAGAGTGTATTAAAACTCGTCCATATGGAAGCACCGAAAATATCTGCAAAGGCAGCGAAGCCTATGCATTTCCACTGAAAAGCGCCGCAAGCTCTACGCAAAGCTTTCACGTGAAAGCTCTACGTATCTAAAGCAGCGCAAGCTCCATCCAATACATGCACACAATTACTGCTAACCACTTGTTGGATACATATATTAATGATACACTCATTCTTTTGTTTATATTGCGATTTTTAAACATGGCTTTAAATTTCAAAATATAACTTACGGTATTATGTGCAAATCCGCTGAAAAGTGTACCAAGCGCCACGTTATTTTTTTTTTTGGAGCACGCGAGTGCCGAAAACGTAAACACAAGAGACGACGCGGAATTAACCACAACTGAACGATCCACGCAAACCACAATAAGAACGGCAGCTTCGCATCGGCAGCGCAGACGTCGGCGTCGGCAGAGAAAGCAAACAAATGAGCTCAAACAAACAGCAATCATCGCGCGGCAATGCCAATGACCTACTATCAGAAATAGGTACTAGCAGTACATAGCAAAAACGACACAAGTTCAAGGTTCCACTTTCTTTTAATCCGCTTAGTAATCGATCCTCCAGGCCCCATATTTTGCATTGTTATATTGTTTACTCATTTGGAAAAGGCGGCTGTATCAAATATCAGCTGGCTATAGAGATGAACGATATATTAGTGCACCTGTATACAAACTATCGCGACTAAAAGCTTAATATCGCTTGCTCAAAATATCGATATCCCTATGATACTATCATCTCTAACGGTTAGCAACAACACAAACTGCAGTTTAATTTAATTTTAAATTTATTACAACTAAATGCAACATGCTTTCCAATCTTATTGTGACCAATCAAAAGGTCATCCTTATAATTGGTAAGCAGAACCAAACATACGCCAAAACACAACGGTCATTATAATATTTTTCAGATCAACTAAATCGCGAACGAATCGCGCTAAAGTTCATTGGCAGCCTGCTTCACGAGCAGGGCGAGGGCAAGGAGATTAAGACATTGCCAATTGGCACGCAACTGAAGCACGTGGCCAGCTTCGAGACGCTGCTAAACGAATGCAACAACAATAATAATAATCAATTAAACCAACCAGAGCCAACAACAAAAACTGGCTGCAATATCATACTGCCAACGCTGGCAGATTTGCTCTGCTATCAGACGCCCGCCTATATCTTCGACTTCATCAATAAGTTGCGGCGCTCCGAGCATGTCCGTCGCGTGTTCTTGTGGGCGTCACCGCAGAACTTGCAGCACCCGGACGCTGACTACATACTAGCCGGATGTGAGTATCTGGCGGAGTTGGTGCTACGACTGGAGACGGATACAACGTTGTCGCTGATATCGCGCAAGCCGGGCGGTGGCGTCACCAACAAACGCTATACGTGCCAAGTCAGCAAGACAGAGTTCCAAGTGTCGCCACTGCTGGACGCTAGCGAAACGAATGCCTTAGCTGCTGCAACTAAAATAGAGGCTGCACACGAAGAAGCCGTAAAAGCAGCTGATCCTGGCGGTACCTTCAAGATCGAACTGGACGAGGATGAAGTTGTGGCGCGCAATGCGCTGACATTGCCATATGAACGGTTGGTTGGTTGCGCCCTTGATGAATTACTTGTCTGTTATCCGACCTTTCTATTGCAGCACCAGCGAAGCGGCTGAGGGCAACATCATCTACACGCCAGATGCCGATGATGATTTCGATGATGAGGATCCGGATGAGGATCTATTAATATAGAATGTGCTCGCACAGCAAACGGCAGTACAAATGGCCTTGGCTTTAAATATTTAAGTCTAACATACAAATATATAAAATGCATATAACATTAAGCGAGCTCAAGAATTGAAATTCCGGCCAAAATGAAAATGAATCTTATAGTTGCATAGTTCAAAGTTTATACTACATGCTAGAGATATATATATGTATGTCCAGTGTTACAATTGCATCGCATAGTTACTTAAACCCTAACAATTTGTTTGTAATACTCTTTTTTAAAAACTTGCCCACACTCACTTTCACTCCACAAACGACCGCAAGTCCCAATCTCATTCTCATTTTACATATATCACAACATTCTAAAAGAAAAAAGATTTTAAGGTGCGTTCAAAATTTGTAGAATCTGAATTAGAGAAGTTCGAATGTGGCAAAGTGCAAAATTGAAACACTTAAGATTAAAACGGCAAATCCGATGCGGATGCCCTTGCATATGCTCGATCCGTAAACTGAATAATAATAGATTATACTATATAACATAACATTGTAGATATTCTATCTAGTCAAACTTGTTATTATATACATTTTCACATTAATATCAAAGTTAGGCTCAAAAGAAAACAGAAACAAATCGGTTTCATTCTCCATTAGGGACTTGAAACAGTCCCATAAAATTGTTAATCTCAGTGTAAGCTCAGGCTACTGACATAACGCCAGAATAATACTAAACAATGATTTAATGAAAGGAATACATATGCAAGGGCTAAGTAGACTATCGGCTGCTTTTAGTTTTGTGTGCGTTGAGCATAATATTGCAGATATCTGAGTTTAAAATTCTTATTTGAACTATGACATTTAAGTATTGAAACGAGTAGTAAACAGATGGTTAAAAAACCAACACACAGACACATGAGGACATTCACAACTATTTACACAACAAAATGAATAACTAAAAAATTATCAATGGTAGCGTTTTCAAAAATGGCTATAACAACTTTATATGACTCTGGCCTATTGTCAACGCTTGAGCAGCGCGTCCATATCGCTCTTGGGGTCCGCGGCCAGGGAGCTCCAGGCGGTGTCTCGACATAGCGGCAACTCGTGCAGCACATTAGTTCCATCCGCAATGCAGGTTTCACGCAGCTGAAAGAATTTGCCGACCAGCAGGTCTATCCAACTGTGCAATGGTTGGCCAATGAATTCAGCATTGGCCAATGCTTCTTTGCGCAGCGCAATGACGTCGTTCTCATTGAGCAGATGCTGCTGCCACTCCTCAGGCAACGAAAAGTCCTCGGGCAGTGACAGGGCTAGACCGCCGTTTTGGGCCCGTGCGGCTGCCACAGTGTCCAACGGCACACCTTTGGCATATGCAAGCGGAGCGACTAGAAACTTGAGCTGCGCATAGATGGAAGTGCGTCCAATTAGCTTGGCTGTCCATATGCCCGGCGTGAGCGGATGCTTGAGCAGCGTCTTGGAGTGATTGATAACATCGATTTGGGACTCCTCCACATGCAGCTCATTGAAGTCCTGCAGTCGACCCAATGGATCCAACCAGAGCAGCGTCAAATTGTACGAGTGCGATGCATCCTGTGTGGCAGCCACACCCTGATATGTGTAGCTAAGCAATAGATCGCTATGTGGTCCAAGTAACTTGGCAAAGTTGCGCGCCACCTGCTCCTTCTGATCGAAATCGGTGGAAACCTCAAAGTTGCGTAGCCGCTTGCTGAAGCGTGTATTTTTCGCCACTTTGCCGTGCTGCACGGGTCGCACGCGTGTCTCCAGCTGCAGCTCCCTGGAGTCATTTCCGCGCAGCACGCTGTAGCGCACCAAAAATCCCTTGTACTGATCCCGATGCAGGTAGTGTGTCAGCTCCAGCAGCCGCAGCGGTTCCAGTTTGGCCTGTTGCGCAGAGAGACGCATCAGGCTGTCGCCAACTGTTCGTGCCAGATCATCGGCAGCGCCATGCACATCCTCGTGATGATAGAGCGACTGCCAGTAGCCGTGCAGATTGGCATATTCGCTGGTGTACGGCCCGTAGAGCCACTCCTCTAGCTGCAAAAGCACCGCCTGATTGATAATCGGCTCGAATTTGCGCGCAAAGAATAACGACTTTTGTTCCGTGGCCAGCAGCCGCGCCCAATCCTCGGGCTTAAAGTCGTTGGGGCTGCACCCACACCAGTCCACCACATGCTTGTATTGACACTTGCAGCCTTGTTTGCGCTTCCAGTTGGTCACATGCAGATTGTTGTCTACATAGCTGTGGCAATGCTGTGTGTTGCGCAGCACCGTGTGAAAGAAGGATTCGGCTGGCAGAAGTGTGTGTCGAAACAGTTGCAACAGTGCCTGCAGCAAAGTATCATCCTTTGCTGGATTTGTTACGTAGTTGACAAATGGACGGGAAAGTGCCACCCAGTCGCTGCCACCGTCCACCTGTATGCCGGCAGGCAGCTTGCGATCGCCTATGCGCCACATGTGTGTGTCGCACTCCACGAAGGTCTTGTCCAGGCCCTGCTTCTGGATAAAACGCTGCGTCTCACGGCCATGGCCCTTGACAAAGTTGCGGTCGCGATTGGCGCTCAGAAAGTCAACCAGTTTGTCCAGCGTCTTGACAGGAAAATCACTTTCACTCAGATTGATGACAAAGTCCCACTCCCAGTTGGACTGCAGCAAATCCTGCATACACTGCAGCAGCATGGTCAGCAGTGAGGCGCCGCCCCAAATTGTAGAGAAGCGTTTGCGTGCTAGACGTATATTGGGAAACTTGGGTTCCAGTTCCAACAATTTGCGGTAGAGATAATCCTGGCGCTGTGAAATTGGAAAATAATCTTTTAATTCAATCGATAATTGATAGCCAAAACTTGTTATTAAATTATGTTGTGCTTCGGTTAATGATGACTCAAAACTTAATCATAAATTACGTAAATTATGTACTATATATCATCATATGATACTACCCTATTCTTGTTCATATACTTGTATTATTCAATCTTAAATAAATGTAAGCCACCATTTGCTGCTTTAACAGCGAGGCGTCAAATTCCGCTCAATTAGCACAAATTGTGGAATTCGCTTTAATTATAAAATCCGGCCGCGTGGCCGTCTCGCACCGATCACTCACCGCATCCACGTGTATATAGTAAACGTGTTGGGGCGCATACAGAGCTCGGAGCAGTCGATGAACCTGTCGCAATGCACGTCCGTTGAGCGTCAGCAGAAATGCAATGCGGACACGCTGTTCCTCCCCTGGCGCTGGGCTGCTGGCGGCCAGTTGCGGGGTAAACTCTGCAAACAGATTCGATTATTATATATAAGAATGACAATTATATGGATGCACTCACTTGCAATACCCGTTTCATAGACATTCATGGCAAAGAAACCACCACAGATTTCTTTGGCATTGCCCAAGCATTTCATGTTGCAGCTGGAGTCCGGCAGTTTGGCGGAGCTGGGCGGAGTGTCAAAGCCGCAGAAGCATTCGCGTGCGTATTGGACGCCCGCATATGGATAGCCGGATTGCAGGCAGAGCTCGACACAGCCACTGGGTGAATTGGACGTTTTGAAGCTGGTAAAGTAGCCGCCCAGCAGGCGCGATTCCTTCTCGTCGCGATAGCAACCCAGCGAAACATTGGCCGTGTGGTTGCCCGCGGGACAACTACTCTGTAGATGTGTGGCATAGAAGCGTCCAGCTTGTATGGCACAGGCTATATGGGCGATATGTTGGCGGCAGTCTTTCGTCTTGGCACGCTGCAGTGCCGATATTGCTTCCTTGGCATTGATATCACATTCGGGCTCAAAGCCCAATTCCTTAGAAGTGAGCCGGGCGCCCTTACCGGCTACCTGGACATGAACTGGTGGCGCTACAGGTTCTGGTGGCGGCGCCTCCAAATCGTGCACATCGCGTTGTGTGCGCCTTGTCCCAGTCAAATCAATGTCAACTGATTTGTAGGCCAGAAACAGCTGGATGGCAATGATGAAAAGTAGTATTAAGTAGAATACGCGGTAGCGGCGCAACCAGCGCATGGATACAGACGACTGTTGCTCCATGGCCAGCTCGGAAGGTGCGCACGTAGTCTGTGGTCGTTGACCCGCGTGCTTTTGCTTATGGCTCGTGTAGTTCTGTGGATGCGATGCAGTGGCATGTCCAGCGTTTATCTCATTAGAGTGAGCCTTTAGTATAAGTTACATGTACAAGTATTTACAATCGCTTAAATTATCTGCATTTCACTCAAAACACTCCCGCATTTCACCAAGAATACTGAATCAGTATTACAGACATCGTATGCTGTTGCCGATATATCGATACATTGTTTACGATATTTGTATTTGCCATGTATCGAATTTTGCTTAGGCGCGGTACGCTGATCACAGGTAATGAGAACAAGCTATAGCTAACAGCAGCAATCAGTTATGCCAGGCTTATAATTTTCTAACGAAAAATTGAACCATAATTAATATATACCGTAGTGCGCCCATTAGTTAATTAAGTGTATGGAAATTGAAAATAATTTGTCAAAGGTAAGCTATTACTTTCCTGCTAGAAATTAGGAGAAAAGCAAATCACGTCATGTTAGTCGTTCTTACAAATATATTTGCCAAAATATTGCAGCCCTGCTCGCAACAATTTAGTTTGAATTCTTCTAAGGAGTTTTTGCCACGCTCTTCGATCAGCAGCATACTAGCCAGTAAACAACTAACGTTTCCAATGGTTGATCCGAATCGTAAAATCAACCGACTCTCGGACAGAGATGTTAGCTTTTTGGATGAATGCGAATCGGAATTTGCATCACGCTACACAACAGACGATGCCGAATTTATGGCACATTGTTCTAAGCCAGAGCCGGAGCCGCCGCTGGTTGATAACTGGATGAGCGGTGGTGGTGGTGGCGGAGGAGGAGGAGGCTCTGGTGGAGGTGCTGGTGACGGCTATACAAGTCCTTTTAATAATCGTTACAATGGCGGACAGCGCAGAGGAGGAGGCGATCGTGGCTGGCAAAGACGCGGTGGCGGATACAATAATCACAACAGCAATAACGAACGCGGCCTCAGAGGTACGCAAATCAGTTTATGTTGAAAATTCGCTTTAATTGCTTTTAAACCACCTGCAGATCAACGCCGCAATAGATATGAGGCTTATCCGCGAAGGGATCGTGGTGGTGGCGGCGGAGGAGGAGGAGATAGGACTTCAGAACGTTCTTATCAGCACAGGAGCCGCAATGAGTCACCGCAGGGTGGCTCGCCTATGCACGTCAGGCGCGACTATGGCAACTTTGTGCCGGCATCCAAAGATTAGCGTTTAGCTTACCCTGTTTCATTTGTCATAACGCATTTACACACACACACACACCCACACCCACACACATATGTACATGTATATAGATGTATATTTCGATTTGAATGTTAAGCCCATAATGCGATTGTAATCTTAAATGCTAAATGATGCGTTCCTGTTTGTGCCCTAAACAGCTGATTCTGACAAATCCTTGGGTTTCTCATCTGTTGCCGCAGCCGACATGCCTACGCCCATGGCGGTAAATAAATTGGATACGGGTCCTGCGCCTCCCATTTGGGATTTATAGCTGTCCATCATGTTTCGCAGCGTGTTAACATTTATATTAATTGGCTCAAAGTCCTCGATGTCATCGAAATCATCCTCGGCAGCGTTGTGTTGCGACGTGCTGGTGCTTGTGCTGCTCTTTCCATGAAAAGACTTGCCCACGGTCGTTTGAGCCAGCTCACGATCCATTTGCTCCATGTACGCTTTAATGTTGCGATCCAAACGGTAGTTATCATCGCCGCCACCGCTGGCATTAGATAGAGCATCGAAGTTGCGCTGAAGATCCTCCTCGTCCGCATAGTCGCTCATCTCGGAATTTGAATCCCAGTTGTCCTCTGGTATCACAAAGTCAAGAAAATTGCGCACATGTGTGCTGTCCTGCTCGTCGGATTGTATCAAGGAGTTGCGCTTGCATGCCTTGCGCATTGAAGCGTTCTTTTTGACCTTGGCATTGCTGCTAGTTGCACTAGTTGGCGGCGGCGGCGGTGGCTCGTCATCGTCTGAGTCCAGTTCATCGCCTGCCTCTCCCGGTGCTTCGATACCTTCGAAATTGGACTGTCTGTCTAAGAATTGAGACAGCTGCTTGGTAAATTCTGCTGCATTCATGTCACCATTGGGATTATACAGCTTCTGGGGGCCGTAGCGCTGCTGCAGCATGGCATCCAGATCCTCGGCGCTAATATTCAGCCAGTCATCTGCATCGCTGGGCAATAGATTGTTCTCCTCGTCACGCAGCTTCTCAGAGCCGCTACCGTCGCCAGGGTGCAATAGCAAATTAACTATTTCGGCGCCAACCAGCGGTGCAGTGCGAAAGCGCTTCTGGTTGCACTTAAAGTACTCCTTGGCCGTGGTTAGTAGGCGCTCATGCTCCGCACTGCCATCAATGTTGTCCCGAAAGTAACCCTTGCCTTGCAAGCTGCGCAAATACGATCGCCAGGCGGGCGATTGCTCGTCCAGCTGCTCGCCAGCACGCTTCGCCTGGCTAGCCAGTATTTCTAAGCCGCTGACTAGCTTCACTCCAAGTAGCTGTTCTTTATAGCACTCAGGATTGGCCACGGCATCCGTCAATTGCCAGCCCAGTCGGCGCTCTGGTGTATATTGGCTATGCATTATCATGGCATACAAACATCTTGTGAAGGCCACATTTGTGCGTTTGCGTGGCGATTCTGGCGGAAAATATCGCATGGTGCGCAGCGCCTTCGTGTCCAAAGTGTCGCGTTCGCAGAAGGCGCGCACAGCCGACGCCACCAGACTCGGTCGCTGTTTGAGAAGCTGTGCCGCGTTTTGTGGCAACTCCACGATTTGGCGATGAATGGATACATGCGGCTGTGCCGGTTGAAATTCGTGCAGACGAGCCTCAATGCAGTTCTGTATATCGCGCGAACAGCGGTATAGCGTGGGATTCAAGCGTATACGCTGTACAGCAGAAGCCATGGACAGCGGATTGTTTTGGCTAGTGTTGGTCGAGTTCTGCAATAGCTGAAGCCCACCATTCACAATATAGACACGTTGCTCGCACGTCTCCGGGCTGGCCCAGTCGGGCAGAGCATCGGCGGCCTCGATAAGCAGAAATTCGCCGTCAGCATCGCAGACGCGCGCTATGCAATCCGGACGAGAGCGGGTGAGCTCGCTCAAGAGATAAACAATGAACCACTCGTCGCCAATGTTGTCGCCGTAATGCGTGACGCCATGTAAATGGGGCGGCAGCATACCTAAAATGAGCCCAATTGCTATAGCTAAATATAGGCGCATAAATAGTATGTACTTGCCCGCATGCTCTTCCTCCTCCTCCTTGTTGTCTTCCTCGTTGAGCAGGCGTTCCTCGGCACTGCCCGTGCGTGCTAACAGCTGAAATTCATCCTTGTGCCAAATATAGCTGCGCTCGGCGACTTTCTTTTCCACAATGGACATGCATTCAGCACGCACTTGCTCCAACTGCTGACGCACTTGCTCCTCATCGTGCTCGACACCGTCAGTTAGTTTGGGAAAAATGTAGTACTCAACAAAATCGTCCTCGCGTACAAATTCCAAATTGGCACCTGGTAACTTATTCATTGTCTTTGTTGTCTGCCTTTGTTTTGGTCGCGGTTGGACGTGACTCAGTCTCTGCTCAACAGCGTGTGTGTATCCCTTGTGGGCACTGTTTGTTGCCACAAACAAGCAAAAATTATATTTGCTCAATAAATACTTAACAAACGGCACTCTTGCTGACAGTTACAATAGTTTTTAAGCAAATTTTCATTTATTATTGGCAAAATAAACTTCTTTATTGGAACGGGAGCTGTTGTTGAGACCACTCTCAATGATATCGACAAGTTATCGATAATCAGTTATCGATATAAGATTTTCAATAAATGAACTTTCCCTTAACGTTTATTTTTATTTGAATTCGAAAGAGGGACACTAACCATTTTACTGCATTAAATTTTACAGCCGAGGCAGAGCTTGAATATAAGTACGTATTTAATTTTTTACTTGAATTTGAAAAGGGGGCAGACACCATTTTATCGCGTAGAGTGAGCCAGAGCTTCAATTTGTAACTTAGTCGAGATACGTAGATGTATTAATATAGCACATGGGCTGTTTTTTAAATGCTTTTTGAGCTTCTTAATTGTTATATGGAATACACCAAGTTTACATCAATAAAAGTAATCATATTTCTGGGCATGTTGCAACATCACCTCCATAGATTTCTTGCCCTGTAGCACGCCATTGCGCTCAATGTAGTTCCAAATGGAAGCCATAAATAAACAGAATAGTATTACGCCAAATACGATAAACTTGAGCAACAGATAAATCGTCTTAAGTCCCACCGGCGGTGCATACTCAACGAGCAGAACTAGCAGAACAAACAGAACAGTTGCTGCACTATAATATAATAACCGATCGGTGTTTAATTGCAGCAAGGAAGCATCGCACAGAGCAAGTGCCTCGTTTAACGCTGCCGTGCGTGCAGCAGGCAGGTGCTGAGCATTGGCTGAAGAGCTACTGTTCTCGTGCGTGGCATGGGCATCTTCTTTAATCGCATCCCCGGCGCCCTGATCCTGTAATGTACACACTTCTTCAAAAAGATTGCACTCCACATGCTCCATATTTACGGTAATCTCTTCGGCTGATTCGGGTTCTTTTGGCAAACGGATTAGTCTTAACTTGGCCAGCACAGCTTCGTGATCCGAGAAGCTGAACTTTTGTCCAGGTACGCGTTCCGGAAATGGTAGCGTGTATTCGACAATCTCCGCATTGATATTATCTGCGCCTCTCACAAATATGTGGTCAATCCGTATTCCTAGCGGGTTTTTGGCCAGCGCACGTTTCGATGTGTATGAGTTCCTGCCACACTCGTTGGTGCGAAACGAGTCCGAGGCACAGCTGTCTGTCATCTTAGAGGTATAGAGCAGCACCTTATACGAAATGTCCTGAGGCTGTGTATTGAGATCACCCGCCAATATTTGGAGCACCGAGTTGCCGCGCGTAGCCTCTATAAACTGGGCCGTGTCAAAGGCCTGAATTACACGATGTGTCTTATATTCATCATTGTCGTTGTCATATTCTGCATGCAGATGCGCGTTATAGAGGTGAACGATTTGATCGCCAAACAGGATGCGACAGAGACCCACACCCTTGCCGCCAAACCAGTCGGCGTGCTGGATGCGATGAAAATAGCCGTTGACGGACCAGGCGTGGAACAGCGTGCCCAAAATTGGATACTTGGAGAGCACCAGTAGACCAGCACCCATGACACCGCTGTGAAAGTAGTGGGAATACGGCAATACACTTAACGTGCCCTGCTGCAGTTGCTCGCTGTCTTGCTGTGACCATACCTCCTGCAGGGACACGATGTCGTACTGGCCGCTGCTGAGCTCCTTACATATGGCTTCGATACGTGGCGCACGGTCACGGGAGACAAAAGGAATACCCCTGTAATTATAATTTGATTTTGGCAACGCAAGCAAACGCCAAGGCGAATTAGTTCCAAGCGCGTGACCAAATTGAGAAAACATATAAAAACTCAACACACCAAATGTTCAACGTTAGAATTTTCAGCTCCAGCAGCAGCATTGTGATATGTTTCGTGTTTCCGACTCCCTCATTAGCTATCACTGGCGTACAATGTACGCGCGCAGCGCCGATAAGATTAAATTTTGTTTCTAAACAATCAACTAGGCATTTCTGCTGCAAGCAATTTGTTGCCCGCTTGAAGGTGGCTGCGCGCAATTTTGACCGCAATGAAGTTGGCCGCGCGCAGATTTTGCTCACGTGAAGTTGGCTGTGCGCGATTTTGGGTCCAAAAACAACAAAGAGCACATGAAACGAGTAAAATAATTTAAAATTAGTTTGGAAATAAAATCAAAAAGACAATAAATATGGCACGTACCGAGCTGGAAATAAAGAAGCAAAAGCGTAAGGCCAAAAAACGTAAACATGACACTCAGCCAGCGGGAAGCGATGACGAAGTGGCCAACAAAAGTTTAATTGTGGAGGAGCAGGTGGCAGCGGAAGCCCAAGCGAAGGAACAGCTACCCCGTAAAAGTAAGCAAAAATTCTTTAGTGAATACAAATGTATAATTCAACATGTTACTGATTGCAGCCAAGGCGTCCAAGCGCAAGATCCAGGCGGACCAGGGTGCCATCAAAGAGAAACGCAGCAAACAAACAGATGAAATTAAGGAAGACGCCGCCACTGATGATGAGCTAGATGGCATGCCCACAGCGGAGCAACTGGAGCAGGCGACCAAGCCAGAGAACTCGAATGCCATTGTTACGGTACGACAAAAGAAAAAACAGAAACACTTGCAGCGGCTAGAGACACAGAAAGATCAGAGTGCCGACAAGGAAGCCAAGCGCAATGAGGAGTACCTACGCAAGTGGCGGGACAGTAGGCAAGATTGGAAGTTTGAAAAATTGCGACAAATCTCCATACAACAGACGGCCTTCGATGAGAAAAAGGTTAGCGCAGATATTTGGCCCATTGCTCTGGAGTATCTGGCGGGCTCAAAAGGCGCGGCAAAGGCAATGATCAGCAAACTGGCCGAGGATGCCATACAGGAAATGGATAAACAGTGTGAACAGCTGAAGGAGGAGGCGGAGCGTCAGGCGATTGTGGAATCAACACGTTATCAGCGCGCTCGCAACCTGTTGCAAAGTTTCGATTAAGCGTTAGTTTCTAGTTTTGATATGAATAGCAAAAAAGCGTTCTTGTTAATATTTAGGGTTTAATAAACAAAAGAAAAAACATGTTATTTATAAATCCACATATGCCAATAGCTTGTCCAGATGCTCAATGCGTTGTCGGAGCAGCTGCTGCTGCTCTTCCTTGTGCTCCTCCAGTTTCTCAAGCATAAAATGCTGCATAAACAAGCGGATGCTTTGCTTGAACTGCTGCAGCTTGGAGTTCTTCGCAATGCGCTCAAACGCCTGGTAGAGTTGACTCTCCTCGTTGGACAGCAGCAGACGTGTCATAATTTCGCGCATAAAATAGAAACTAAGTTTGTGCAATTGCATAAAGTCTACAACCTTCAGCACAGACAACTGAAGACCCGAGGCTAGTATTAGCTGCTGTAGGAAGCTAGCAAAGTTGCGTATTTGAATTTTCGACAGCGTTTCAATGTCATTGATGCGATCCCAGCTGGCAAATTGAAAGGCCAGCTGAAATTTGCGATTATACTGACAGAATTTCAATGCCAGATGCGCATAGTATGGATTCGCCCGGCGCTCATTGAGTGCACAATGTATAATCACATAGGCAACAGTTCGCTGATCTTTCAGTGACAGATGAAGAATTTTTTCGAATGCATCTACATAGTCGGCGGCGCTCATGATAATGCAAAATATGTTACGTCGCTCGGCGGTGTTCATATGCTGTTTCTTGGCCAGCTCTAATAGCTTTTCCGAGTAGCGCTCACTTCCTGGTTGCTGGCGCTGTTTCTGTTCCTCCGCCTGAGCGGTGCCCATCTCGGCCAGATTGCCCGCCCATGCTGAGCCAACAATCCACCATTTGCCTAGCTTATCGGCACGCAGCAGATCTTCCAAGGTGATATTCAGCGTAACAACATAACGTTCATTTCTGAGCATTCCCTTAAGGCGCTTGCGGAGCGTCTCCGCCAGTTCAGGATCATACTGCGGCAACTTGCTCATGTTGTTGTTTTTCACAGCGTTCAGAATGTCTACCATGAAACGCAGACGCGGATTCTCCTTTAACTCTAGCGGAGATGCAGCAATTTGCGACTGCACGTTTTGCATCATATTCTTAAAGGCCAGGGGATCATCTTTGCGCAGACGAAATCCAACCGTTTGGAAAATCAGCAACAGGCATTCAACTGATTTCTCGCACAGGCTGCCCGCAAGTCGCGCAATCAGCTCTAGCAATAATCGCTGCTCGTAGATCTTAAAGATGTACATGTAACACAGGATTAGAACCAGATTGTTCAGACGCTTATCCTCCACTTCCAGTGCGTTTATCTCCTTTACATAGCCATCAAACTGTTCAACGAAGGTTTGCAGGAAATGCGCGCCGATCTCGCTGCCAATGTGCGCGTGCAGAAAAGCCAACAGTACCATATGCTCCTGAACCATGCGCTCGTTGGCGCGAGCACGTCCCAGCAGCGCCTCCTGTAGGAGTTTTGTCAGCGTCTCGTTCATGTTATATCGGGAATTCTTCATGTAGAGCGTCTCGATGCCACTAGAAATCTTATGAAGATTCGCCTCGGACAGTCGATTGAGCAAACCCTTGCATTGTTTTTGCAAGCGCGCCAGTTGCTCCGCCTGTTGGGCATTGGAACCTTCGCTGGGAGCGAGTAGCGCCCGTTGATGTGGTGGTATGTATTTCTGGCCGGAACCTTTTGACTCCACCTCGGCATTATCGGGCACAATATTGCCATCGGCATCGCGACGACGACCATAAATGTCCTCCTTGTCTGTAAAAATTGATGAAATTGAATTGGTAAAACAAACATTTGACCCTACAATGCATACATTTCGTTTGTTCTGTGCTGTGCTCGCTTTCACTATTGGATTCTAATTTATCATCGTCTTCGTCCTCTTCCATGTCACTTTGATCCGACGACACTTCGTTTTCGTCCACATCGCTGTCTGCCTCTGACATTGGTTCATCCTCTTCGCTCCACATGTCTGCTTCCTCCTTTTCCTGTTGCTCCTTAAGTTCCTTTTTCCGACGCTGCTTTTCATCCCATTTTTGTTTCTCCTCCTCATCGTCAAGCACAAAGTCGAGCAGATAGTCCAATCCGTCGTTGAACATTTTTCGAACCAGACGATTCTTGTCCTTGCTCTTGTTTAGCTTCAACTTTTTTTCCAGCTTGGCGATTTCCTTATCCTCCTCCACGTTTTCTAACTTCAGTTGCTTCATTCGCTGCTTGCGCGATTTGCTAAGCAGCTCCTTTTGCTGGCGCAGCTCACGCTTGCGTACTTCCACTTCGTCGGCTCGCTGTATCCCGGCGTGTTTCCTGGGCTTCTTGCCCAGGGGCTCGTATGTTTCCACTTTACGTTCTGATGGCAGGCGAGCATTCACCTCCGCATCACTAAAATCGGAGGCTATAGATTCATCATCATCCTCATTCACTTCGCCCGCCAGCAGCTCTTCTCGAGGCATGTCCTCGGGCTTCAGCTGCTTCTTTTTTGGTTTTTTCTTCTTTTTGCTTGTCTGTGTCGCTGCTAAAGCCGCAGCCGCTGCTGCCTCTGCTACGCGCTGCGCTCCATTTGTTTTGTCCGCATGGTAGATTCTCTTGTTGTTCTTCTTTGTCTCCTGTTTCAGCTTGCGCTGCTCCTTGCGGCTGAGCGGCTTCTTTGGTGCGTGCGCTGCTTTCTTTTTCAGTTTCACCATGTCAACAAATTGAACTTCCAAATCGTATTGTTAGTGTTGCCAAATCAGCTGTGCACAGCACGTGTGTGGGATATTTTAGTGCATTTTTGGTATGGAGCTTGATACAGGCAAAACAGCTGAGTCGGTTTTGTTGTTCGAGTATAGTTTTTACTGCTATTTTATATTAACACACAATCTTCGAATTATGTCTACGCGCTGGTATCCTATTTATCAACGTGGCAATCCGCAGTTGCGCGTCTTTTTGCCCAACTTTTGGATGAAGCTGGTGCGACCCACGGAGGAGCAGCCGGCAAATGTTGTTACCTTTGCCGTGTCCACGGAAATGACCAAGCACGACGTGAAAAACTATTTGGAAAAGATTTACAAAGTGCCCGTGGTGGATGTTCGTACACGTATTGCGTTAGGCGAGACCAAACGTGATCAAACCTACGGCTATGTGACCAAAAAAGACGACGTCAAATTGGCTTATGTAACCATGGTGAGTAGACAGGCTGAACTAAAGCTAAAAACTTGGCTCATGGATAAATTCATTTTGGTTTTTGCAGCCGAAAACCGAAGCATTTACTTTTCCGGATCTTTTTGCGAATAAAGCGGAGCAACAGGAGAAGGAGGAAAAGTCAATGGACGAATCGAAGGCGGGCTTTCGCAAGTTTCTGGAGCGCAACAAGAAGCGACCCGGCACACCGGGCTGGTACTCTATTTAGGCTTTTAAGTTATATGTAGCTTAAGTTGTTTGCAACGAATAATAACATTTATTTTGAAAAACCCATATTAGTTGAGTAAAACAAGTTTAAAGCTTAGAAACATTTATGATGCCGAAGGAGGCTCTTCTACTGCTTCGCATTTTTAACCGCCGTGGCTACCCAGGCGCGTATCTTGTCCTCATCCTGGAGTCCGACCATGCGTTGCACTTCTTTGCCGTTTTGCATAACCATGAGCACGGGAACGGCGCCCACATCGTAATCCAGCGCTAGCTCACTGTGTTCGTCAATGTCAACTTTTGCCAGTTTAATGGAGCCAGCCTGCTCGCCCACAATGGTCTCGATGCGCGGCGTTAGGAGCTTGCAAGGATTGCACCAACTAAAGAGGGAAATGTTGGTAAAGAAGTCTTTTGACTAGAATGTGCTTTACTAACGTTGCAAAAAAGTCCACTATCACGGGCTCCTGGCTGTTCTTCACCTTCTTGTCAAAGTCCTCTGAGCTCTGTACTTTGAAGATTTCCCTTTTCTTCGGCGTCACTGAGAATGCCCGCTGATTGCTACGCACCTGTCGCGTCACATTTCCGAGCACATTAACTATTTGTCTTTGCATTTTGCAATTTGTTCAGATTAAAAGTTACGAGAGTTTATACTATAGTTGACGGCGCTGCTTAAAGTGCCAGCGTTACCAACAGTTACGAAACAGCTGTTTTATTTTTGTTGTTGACCAGTGTGACCACTAGAGGTTAATTTGGAAATGCTTGGAATTCAAACACGCAGGTTAAAAACGTTCTTCGAAACGTCGGAGCTTTAATGCTCTTTCAGATTCACTAAATCAATACACTAAACCACCATACACACCAACATTTTGATTATTTCAAATTTTTGTTTTAATACAGTCGACAAGTTTGCTGGTATTCATCAAAACTGCCTTGAAAAGTATATCCTATTTGTTTAATAATCAAGTCTTCATAGATCACTACACATTGCATGTGAAATTTAAAAGACCTTAACTAGAGTATAAAATACCAAAGTTTTTATTTACAAGAATACCTTAAAGGTACGAACTTTTTAAAATACCAACACACGTACACACACATACAAGCACGCACGGACACATACTGTAACACGTATTCGCGTCAGGCATAAAAAATTGTAATATCAAAAGTTCAATTGATTTGATTGTACACTAAAATCAAATTTCAAGTGTTAGTTCTGCTTCGACGGTTTGTTTGACAGTTTTCAAAACGTGTGCAAGTGCAAATTGTGCGTTTCTACCACGGAACACGGTAAACGAATTCTGAGTGCAATTCGCGAGCACCTCTCGAACTGCGCAAATGGCCCATAGCTATAGAAAGGTGGAAGCAGCAGACGAGGAAAAGTAGAGGAGAACAAACGTAGCAAGATGGATGATCTCTCGCAGGGCGACATCTGTCGCGTCTGCCGCTGCGAGGCGTTGCCAGATCGGCCGCTCTTCTATCCCTGCATTTGCACGGGCAGCATCAAATATATACATCAGGATTGCCTAATGCAATGGATGCGTTACTCGCACAAGGAATACTGTGAGCTGTGCGGTCATCGATTCAGCTTTCAGCCCATCTATGCACCGGATATGCCGCGCGTTCTACCTTTGCGCGATGTGCTTGTGGGTCTGATGTCTGCGGTGTTGGAGGGCGCGCGCTGCTGGCTGCACTACTCTCTGGTGGGCATGGCCTGGTTTGGTGTGGTACCTCTGTCGGCGTATCGTACCTATCGCTACCTATTTCGGGCCAGCTCATTTGATATGATTCTCTCGCTGCCGTTTGACATCTTCTCCATGGAGAATCTGGCTGCGGATGCATTTCGTGGCTGTTTTGTGGTGACTTGTACGCTACTGTCTTTTATTGGCTTGGTCTGGTTGCGTGAGCAAATTCTCCATGGTGGCGGACCCGATTGGCTTGAACGTGACGAGGCGCCGGCTGCAGCAGCGGCTGCTCCAGCTGTGCCTGCTGTTGCCGCAGCTGCCGCACCGCCAGTTGCCCGAGTTGCGCCAGTTGCGCAAGCTGACCCAGATGCAGCTCAAGATGATAATAACAATGGTAACGCGCCGCAAGATGTACCAATGGATAATGCTGCACCAGCAGTGGCCGATCCGGCTGACAACGAAGGCGATGCTCCACAGCCAGCGGCTGTGCCCGCTGCAGGTGCCGCCGCCGCTGGCGGCATCGCTGCCGCTGCTGATGCAGACAACGATGAACAGAACTGGAATCCCATGGACTGGGATCGTGCCGCCGAAGAGCTAACCTGGGAGCGTTTACTTGGCCTGGATGGTTCACTGGTCTTCTTAGAGCATGTTTTCTGGATAATCTCGCTAAACACCATGTTCATCTTTACGTTCGCCTTTTGCCCGTATTGCGTGGGCAACTTTATACTGAGCTCCATGGATCTGTTGCAACCGGAAAAGCCATTGCTGCATTTCCATGGACTGATTACTACGCTCTTTGGATACTGTTGCATCGGACTGACGCTGGTAGTGCTGCACTTCTTCGCACGCGTCTTTCGGCTGCGTCGCATCTGCTGGTTCATTGGACTTTGTTACATTGTGGTGAAGGTGTCGCTGCTTTCTGTGGTGGAGATAGGCGTGTTGCCGCTTATCTGCGGTTGGTGGCTGGACATATGCTCGCTGCCGTTGCTCGATGCCAGCCTTAAAGATCGCAAGGCCAGCTTTAAGGCCGCACCGGGCACATCGCTCTTTGTCCATTGGATGTTTGGCATGGTGTATGTCTATTATTTTGCTGCCTTTATATCGCTGCTGCGCGAGGTGCTGCGTCCGGGTGTCCTTTGGATCTTCCGCAATGTTAATGATCCCGATTTCAGTCCCATACAAGAAATGATTCATGTGCCCATTGTTCGTCATATTCGCCGTTTAGTGGCATCGGCGATGATCTTTGGCTTTGCCGTACTGCTAATGCTCTGGCTGCCAATACGTATACTGCAAGTGCTGTGGCCCAATTTCTTGCCCTATGCCCTAAGCGGTGACTCGGAGGTAAATGATCTGAGCTTGCAGCTGCTTTTGCTACAGGTGAGTAATATATCCTTACATCGATGTGGTTTCTATTTTTAATGCAACTTCTTTGCATGACAGATTGTGCTGCCCGGCTTCTTCGAGCAAACCCAAACTCGCATTTGGCTGAAGGGATTGCTGCGTATCTGGTGCACGGCTGTGGCCTGGCTGCTTGGCATACGAAGCTATTTGCTGCCCGCTCCGGAGCCACAAGCTGCCGAGGAGGCCGAGCCAGCAGCTCAGCCAGCGGAAGCGCCTGGAGTTGCCGCTGCACCGCCGCCACCAGCTCCAGTGCCGGAGCCAGCTCAACCACGAAATTTGGCTGCAGCTCACCAGGCTATGATGCAACGTGATGTGCCCATCGGCTTTCAACCATACGAACGTCCCACATTCTTTTCCCTGCGCCTGTGCGCGCTCCTCTCGCTGATGTGCTTGTCCATTGTGTGCGCCGCCATGTTGATACTAACTGTGCCCGTCTACATAGGCCGTCGTCTGATGATGCTCTGGACTGGTCAGCCGGGTGACAAGGCTCCTCCGCAATTGGCGGCTGACTTGCCCGCAGCAGATCCAGAGGCGGCACGCAAAAACGAGCGTCTGCTACGTCCCCATGAACTCTATACGGCCGAAATTGGCGGTTATTTATGTTGGATTGTGTCACGTGGCATTGCTGTAGTGGTGACCCTATTGCCCCAGGGACGCGCCGCAATTGTCAACAAGCTGAAGCATTGGGCTCGCGTCGCACTGCAATATGCGCTACCAGTCTTGACGCTCCTGGGCATATTTGTGCTGGTGCCGTTGCTGTTTGGTTTACTGCTGGAGCTGGTGATGGTCATACCGTTGCGTGTGAAGCCGCGCAAGACACCTATACACTTTTTGTGGCAGGATTGGGCACTGGGCGTGCTGTATACCAAAATCGCCATAGCACTCACTCTAATGGGACCGGATTGGCATCTAAAGCGAGCATTGGAACGCGCCTATACGGATGGACTGCGAGATTTCGATTTGAAATTTGTAATGCGTGATCTGGCTGTGCCGGTGGTGACAACATTTGGTCTTGCCCTGGCTATACCCTATGTTATTGGCCATTCGATATTGCCCATATTCTTTACCGATCCGTACACACGCCTGGACATCTCTTTGATGGTTTATCCCATAAGCTTCATTGTTGTGGGCAGCGTTTGTTTTGTGCTCTTCCAGATTAAGCAATTGAAGAAGCTGTATCTGTCGATCAAGGTGGACAAGTATCTGGTGGGCCAGCGTCTGGTCAACTATGAGCATCGCAAGAAGCAGCAGGCGCAACAAGCGGCTGCTGCCCAAGAACTTAAGGCACGCCAAGAGGCCGAGGAGGCGCAGCTAGCGCAAGCACAAGAAGGCGGCGGAGTCGGTTTTGGGGTGCGCAACGACGAGCCATTGCTGGAATTAGCGGAGCAGGCGGCTTTGCATGCGCGTCGGCGTCGAGAGCAGTTGCCACGTCCACTGATTGTTGATGCCAACGAGGAGCTGCTCTAGGGTTACGTCTACTTTATGTGCATGTTTATAATGGAGTCTCTGCTGATATATCTTTGTTTAATTCATACGCTTCAGCCAGAGCAAGCCATATGAGTTGATGCCAAGCCCACACAACCGAAGACCCAAACCGAAGTGGCTAGGGCAGGCGCTTCAAATTTTCAAGTTAAATAATTCTTCGTTTTCTTGCTTTAGTTCTTTTTTATATGTTAGCCACAATTGTTTGTTAAATTTTTTCGCTTATAGGTCCTAAACTGTATGATAATTTAAGCCAGCCAGATATAGCCAATAATTACCATCTGATTAACACTTCACTTATTTATCCTATATATATATATATAAAACCATAAACACTTTTCGATTGCTTTGTAAAATGTTTTGGAAAAAACGAGAAAAGTAAAACACTAAATCCAAGTATGGCTTGATAATATATTTAAAATGATAATGGCGATCCGTAAATATATATAAATATATATATATATATATATATTGTATGTATGTATGTATGTATTGTAGAGAGATTACCTTGTATTAGAATCTGATACGATATATGTATGTACGAAAATTATTTCCCGATCATAACAAGAATATTTCAAATAAAAACTTGGTAAATGTGGTGAAAACTTTTGAGTAGCTTTACGAACTTGTAAAAATTATATATGTATACATTTATTATTAATAAATAAATTTAACTTTAAATTTCAATGGAAACATAAACAATTGTCTATATTTTGTACGACAATGAAGTTAGAGAAGCTTCTTCTCGGGAAATGGATGAAAAAAAACAGGGACTTTTTTTACTAGTAATGTAGTTATATAAAACAAATAACTTTTTCCATTTTGTGCTCAAGGGAAAATGGAGTATATGAATATACAGATAAATATTATGCAAATGACACAATTTTAAATACACTGCACACGATACGATTGAGTAGCTTTTACACAGCGAATAGAGTATTGCGCAGTCGATCAGCGGAGAGAAAGCATGCAGTTAAATTAAAATTCCTGGAAATTCTTAATGCGAAATCGCGACTGGATAGCCGTGCAGATGCCAAAACAACTTATTCAATTGAAGACCAATTAATTGAATGGTCATTACACAATTGCTGTGCACTTCTTTGGGCGTATCCTTGTGCCTGCCGCTGGCCTCTTGATTATGTCCATTTGTTTGGTCAGAATAGCGCCTGGCTTTTCCACGAAAATGCATCAAGCTGTGCTCGTTATAGGACCGGCGTCCTACCATTGACAATTTCAATTACGCTTGGAACAACATCGATGCAGTGCATGTTACAGACCGGAGCTGCACCACAGGCCAGCAGGTTGATAGCTTTAATAGAGCGCATAACAAGATGTACAACAATTTTTGTGATTTTCTTCCTTTTATATTGCCTGCAGAGCAAATTGCATTTGGATAAAACTGACTATGGCGTGCTTATGCAGATATACTGATAATAAATCGATTTAATTTTCAAACCTTACAAAAACATACAAAGATTAGGAATAAGCTGAAATATAAATCATTGAAATATATCACCTTTTGTATTTTCTCTAGCTCGAGGTCAATGGATGTTATTATTTTTGTATAAATAATAATCACCAAAGAGTGAGCAGGTTGTCTGCATAGCTTTTGCACGACTTTTTTTGTGCCTACTTTACTTTTTGCATTACTTGGAACTTACAATTCTCAACAAGTTGAAGCTTCAAAAGGACTATAACCAAAGTTCGCAACGTTCAGCTTTATATTAATGTTTTTTAAAAATACCTTTTTTTTTAAAGAAATATACGTCTTTTATGTTAACCAATTTATTTGAGTCTAATTGTTGGCACCGCCTACTACTTGCCTAGCTGTTTGTGTGTTACAGTAATCTCTGCAATGTCAGACCAGCTTAAAGCCCACAGCTCATAAATCTACCCAACTCCATGGCGTGCCATACGGCTATACACCCACAACTCCATGCACCTTTGTTTCCATTTATTTGTATACCCTGTATACCATTAAAAATGGGTATAAGGGTATATTGTATTTGTGCAAAATCCAAATTTATGTAACAGGCAGAAGGAAGCACCTCCGACTCCATAATGTATATATATTCTTGATCAACACCAATAGCCGAGTGGATCTAGCCGTGTCTGTCTGTCTGTACGTCTGTCCGTCCGTCGGTCTGTCCGTCCGTCCGTCTGTCTGTCTGTCCGTATGTATGAACGCAAGGACCTCAGAACCTATAAGAGCTAGAGACTGAAATTTTAGATGTAGGTGCTCCTAGTGCCTGCGCAGATCGAGTTGGTTTCCGATAATCGATAACTTACTCCATTCCCAAGCAATCGATATCGATTTCCTGTGTTTTGGGCAATTTTGGGAAATAATTAGAGCTAGAGTCACGAAACTTGACATATAGCTTCTAAAATAGAATATATATGTATATGCATTTGATGTTGGAAGAAGAGGGTTCAGGGTATCCCCTAGTCGGGAGCTCCCGACTAGAACCTCTTACTGGTTTAAGTTGGCCATTGCCCATGGCTGGACTTTTATAATTTTTAAGCCGGTCCGACCGGCATGCGTGTTTTATTGGCCATAATCGAGCAACGAGCGGGCAGCGGTCTAGCACTTAGCACTCCTTAAGTTTAACAACTTCACGCTCAATCAGCGACGACAGCGTTGGGCTATAAAAACGTAGCAGCTCGAACTTCAAACTTTAACCCAAGGCAGGCCATAAAATATAGCAGCTGCACTGAATGCGACCATGTCCACAAAATGCTGAAAACTTGCAAAAACAAAAACAAAACATAAAATAAGAAGAACAGGTAAAGCATCAAAGGGAACGAGGGTGAAAAAAACATGAAACAAAAGCCACAACTATTTGAACCGTGTTTTGTTGACATAAAATACCAAAAGTCACCAAGGGTACAAACCGCTGCGGTTCCTGCCTTAACCCTAAGCAAAAAAAAAAAAAAAACGTTTGGGGCCTAAACATCGGTCGGTTGTCCTTTGTTACGGAAGGTTTTTTCTTCGTTTTTTTTAAGATAATAAAACATAGGGTAGAGCTGACACAGGGCACAGCTGCACACTTGAAGCTATATATATGTATATATTTATTATAAAATTTAATTTAATTTACGTAGCTTACTAAGTTTATTTTTTTAAAAATGTATTTGAATTTTCACTTTTGAATATTACAAAATTTTAGTTATGAGGAAAGTGCATTCGCCAGTCGCCCAACTACCATTATTTTGATCCATTTTCGTTACCCTCATCATTTTGTTTTGCTATTGTGGTCAACTATTTGGGCTGCTGAGGCAGACATTTCCTTCTCTCCAGCTCGTTCTCTCGTAAAGCTTTTACACAAATTATTTTATTTTGCGTTGAAGAAATAATAAATTATGGCAACGCAAATCAAAGGCCACTTCAATGAGCCCAAGCAAATATAAAAAACAAAAACAAGCAGCTGCAAGAAGATATATAATAAAACACTTTTTGCCGTGGCAACGCGCAATTTTTGACTAGAGTTGGCCAAGAGCTGTGTATAACAATGGCAGCAGGAGCTGCTCTGTTTGCGAAGGATGCGACGTGAGAGCGCGTGTTATACAAAACCAGTTCAGTACAACAAGAACAACTACAACAACAACAACAATATGACTAGCTGCTTCCTTTATGGCTAATTTTAGACAATTAATGAAGTGTTGGCTACGCTTGATAAGAGCTTCAAGTGAACCAGCAGTAAACAACGCAACAACATCAACATCAACATCAACAACAATAACAACAACAACAAATCATAACAACAGCAACTAAGTCATGCAAATGAGCGACAGTTAAGGCAGCTGCCTGGCACATATATAACGCATACGCCGCGTCCGCCCCTGGTGATGTGTGGCGTCTGATAAGGGCGTAAATCCAGCAGGCGACTGCGACAGGGGCGAAGAAGTTATCACCATTGACATATGAACTTGTTAATTTTGAGCAGGAATACCCAAAAAAAAAGAAGGGGAAGAAGGAAAATAAATAAAAAGGGCCAGAGAGCTGCTCACATGTGAGGGTGAAGAGACTTGGCTGTTTGGTTTTTGGAATGTAAAACTTCAGAGTTTTGCTTAAGGCTGTGCAAAAGTTTGTGTAAACTTTAAGCAGGGATCACATCAAAGCCATCTCTCTGTTTCCCGTACACAATAAATTGCGTAAAAATAAATTTTAGTTGTGGGTTTACATATGAGCAGCAGGCATAAAAAAACAACTTTAATTCTATTACACTTGCTTCCTCTCATCAAGAAATTGGCAATAGATCTGTAGCATTTCGCTGTCGACATTTGTGTTTTCTGTACTTAATTAAATGCACTCGCAATATTTATGGGCTGACACATTTGTGTGGAATTTAATGAAACTAATTAAATATTCGCTGCATTATTTAAATGGACACACAATTCGATTGGCACCAACAACAATGGACAACTCCGAATGCTCGTCTGCATTTCAAACGCTGACATTTGAATTATTTAAATGAATTTTCGGTGACAGTTGCCAGTGAACAGTGGCTAGTGAATTGCTTGATTTTATTTGCGTTCTATTAAAAATGTCTGATGCAGCTCTATTTGAGACCAAACCAATAGCCCTATTTGATATAGGGTTATGCGGCTTTTGTGGCATTTTACGTTTCAATGCAAATACAAGAACAATTATAACGCCTGGCTGCTCTTTTGACTGTGGCATCCAGCCAAGAAGATGGGCTATAAGCTGTAGAACTTTAAGCTCCCAAATCCGCTTACTGCTAACAAGTGATAAATTCTGTATATACGTATAGAGACGACTTTTGTTAGTTGTCACGCGCGGCGTATACGTAATTTAAGTGCATTTTGTATGCATGGAGCCAGTCAGATGCATACTTCTAAAAAATGAATTATGCGACCGCAAATTTTATATTATTTTATTTATGATGCATTATTTACTTGGCTAAAGTCCAAGGCGTAGTCCTTTGTCTAGGTGGCCATGGTGTGGGTATGAAATCAATTTGTGATATGGAAAATTCAATTGAGTCTATTTCAATAAATCGTTTATCCAGTGATTTATATGTATGTTAAATTGGTTTTCGAAGCTCCAATTTTCTGTTTCTGGTGCTGAAGTATCATTTGTATTGAATAACTTTGTTTAAGAAACAGTTTAAGCAACTATCGAGTGACAAAATAAAACATAGCTGTTGACTGGAGTAAATAATAGTCCATTGTTTTCTGTTACCATGCCTTATTTATATCAAAACAAGCATGAATAATCCACTTAACAATCTTATGGAGCCTATTTGCCAGCTCAACCGAATCGTATGAAACTGAAGCAAGTTCATGCCCATATGTCAGCTAGTTTTAGTGTTTGGCAACTGAAATAAAATAGTGCTTATAGATAATGTTCGATCAATTAGCCATAAAAAACCGAAAAAGCGAATGCACAATGTTAACAGCTGTAGCTGACAGTTAATCAAAGTCCAAGCATATAAAATGCAGTATAATCCCTGAAAAGAGGCGCACTAATGACAGCAAGAGACAGCGAGAGAGAGAGAGAGAGAGAGAGAGAGAGAGAGAGACCATCTTGTCCTTATGTCAATCATACGCACAGTGTGACAGTTAAAGCAATTGAAGCGAAAAGCAATGCCATATGGCATATGAGCATTTGCCGTTGGTTATTTGCTGTAAAAGTTTTTGCATGATGACAGCACAAGGGACGGCTGGAGTAGGAGCTGGCTGACGGTGGGCGTTGCCTGGACATCCAGAGAAACTGCTCGAACCGCCCACTTAAAGGCGATTCCTTTCGAAAATTACTCAGAGTTTGTTTCTGTTATGTGCCACACAAATTCTAAAGTATTTATTTTGCCTACAGCTGGAAGCACAATTTTCTGCGTAATTTTCTTCTCTTATACTCTAACTTTGCGTTTACATCTATATATTAATTCCGTTAGTTTTGAACAAACCTAACTACTGTGTTAGCGTATTTCATGTGCGGCATGGCTAGAGTAATTTTTCCATTTATTTTTTTTTGACAACTTTGGCAGTCAGTTGTCACATTTTGTTGTTGCGTAGCTCTTTGCGTTTCGTTCGGGACAAATAGAAAAGTTTTCAATGTTTCTAACTTAAATTGTTTTGTGGTTTAACATGACACCGCGACTGCGAGCAGCTCCCACTGGCCTTGTGTCTTGGCCAATCTAAAGTGGTTTATGTGCCAGTGACTATCAAAATGTGTGGCAACTGAAAGTTAAATCCTTACTGACGCAAGTAGGCACACACACAGGCACACATTGAGAGGGACCCGCAAGACAAGTGACAATTTTGCAGTTGAAAGAACAGGACTACGAGGTAGGCCCTTTTGGGCGTAATAAGAGGGATAAGCAAATAAAAGTGGGCTTGGCCAGAATATTTAACGACATCTTGCAGGCCAGATGAGCTTAGCTTCTAATTAACAAAGTACGTATATGTGGGGTAGTTTTCATTCCTGGGCTACAATTCATGTTCTTGGGTTCAATCTTGTTTTGTGATGTGTTTAAAAAAGAAGTGTAATAAAAAAATTAATTTTTAATTTAAAATTTCTAGCTTTTCTGATAATATTACATTTCGTATATATTTTCGTATAGATATAAATTTAGAAACAGAAAAATAGTTCAATTCGGGTTGTTTTTTTTTTTCTGGTTTGATTTTGCGTGATATTTATCCCAATTTATAAAATGAAACGTGACATGGCACCAGCCCAATATACCCCGTTTTCCATTTGTGAACAGGATATAACAAGCAAATAATAATACAAGTCAAAGGTCTTGATTTGTATTGGGCAAAAGTTGACTCATTTTGAGCGCGTGCTCAAGTGGAGGCAACAATTCTTGGGCCATTTGGGCAGGGCGGGTAGAGCTTGGCGGGGTGGATAACGAAAAGTTTTGTATGCTGAAAATAAATGAATATAAATTATGACAAACATGTAAACTGTTTGCGTCTATAACAGTCTTACTGTAAACTTACAAGCCACAATTAGACAACACAATCGCACGAC